CTCGCTGCGCCGCGCCGCCTCGTTCCCCCGGAGCGCTGCTCAGTCAGTCGCCTGCTCGGGCCGGTGGCTCCCTTCTTGGACAGGACCCCGCCCGCCCCCTGGGCTGCCCGCCGCCCCGCCTGCCACCCCGCGAGGATTCTTCCCCGGCCTGTGTCTTCAGCGCCGCTTCCGTCTTTCTAGATCCCACTAAAGAGTACAAAAAAGTGGCTACGTCTTCTGTAACGCTCCTGGAGGTTCGAACTCCCGCGCACTGGCAATACTGGTCTGCACCTGACATCAGGCTTTAGAATGGCCACCCCTGCAAAGAGAGGACCCATCATCACCCGCCATTGCTGAGAAAGGGTGTTGGGGAACATGTGAGCGGTGTCCACATCGCTACCTGCTGTCCTGGAGGTTTCACTGCAACAACCGCCACCAAGCCAAGACTGGGAGTTGGGGGGTGGGGCTACCAGTGTTTTCTTAGAAAGCGAAGTGGCTTTAATTTTTTTTTTTTTTTTAGAAACAAATCTGTCTTCAGAGGAAAACCTCAAGAGGGATTAAAAGGAAGGAATGGGAATGGGAAAAAGAAGCAGCAAGATATATCATGTACAGGTGCAAATTCCCTAGGATGAATGTGATCATCATGTGATATAAAATGTACCGATAAAAAATAAATTTCAAAAAGAACCCTCAAAAGAGTACTTTAGTATCATAATGAGTCTACAAGCAGTCTATTATAAAATTAAACAACAAATATTTTTATTTACTTTTGGAACAGTTTACACTGTACATTTACATATTTGGAAAACCTGAAGTAAGGGGCTGGGCATGACTCAGTGGCAGAGCACTTCCCAGCACGTGCAAGGCCCTGGAGTTGATCCTCGGTGCTGGGAGAAAACATTTGGAAGCCACAGAGGTGGTGAATTTGCCAACTCTGCTCTTCAGAGAGGCAGGCTCTCTGAAGATGGTCCTGTTTCCAGCTTGGATGCTGTGCTTGTCATTGCTACAGCCTCAGTCGGAGCCTCCTGGGAGCTGGTAAGGTGAGCTCCAGAGTAGGCGGCTTGCACAGACACCGGTCTTCCCCACTCGGGGACCCTCCTCCCCCTGCCTGACTCTCCTCGCCTGAGGCAGCTCCCTCCATTGCATTCTGAACTCTTTGGCCAACGCAATCTTCGCAGCACTCAGTTCTGATCACTTCTGCTCCCTGTCTCCCTATTCTCATGCTTCTCTCGTCTGTGTTTCTTCCACAGCCTTCTGCTCACCCCTATCTCCTGGGAGACTTCAGCGCCTTCCACTGCTATGGTCAAGGCCAGGTTCCTGCAGTCCCGCCCACAGCCCGTCTCTCCTGAGCTCCAGACTCACGCCTCTACCACACAGCTCTGCTGGGATGATTCCCAGGCTCCTTAGACTCGGTGACCTCCACGCTGCACTCAGGGCCGTCCCCACACTCGTGTTTCCCGCCTCGATCTCAGGGTGGGTGCAGGGCATCCATCAGCTGTGGACGCCGACCTCGTCTTCCCTCTCACCCAGTCAGCACCAGCTCGTGTCTCACACCGCCATCTCCTTCCTTCCCCCATTGGCCAACTAACCTCTCCCCCCTCTTTCCTGACAGCCCTGACTTCCTGCTTACCACCTCGCAGCTTTCCAGCCCATTCTTCACACCCAATCCAAACCAAGTAAGACCAGGACCCTCCTCCAGGGCTTTTACCATCTTTATGACCCACCCTTCTGCCCTGCCAGGCCACACTCCACACCCGTGACCCAGAGAGGCCATATTAGCCACGTGCTATCTTTGATCTTGGTACCTGTTCTTCCCTCTGTCCCTTACACCCCTGGTTAACGACAGGGTCTCAGGACCCTGGAAACCTTCCCTGACCGTCCCAGCTGGATAAGGAACTGCTCAAGAGCAAGACCACATCTTATTAATTTCACCCTCTCCCGTGCAACTAGCACAGTGTGAGGTACACAGTAGGTGGTCAGTAAATGTCTGTTGGGATACACAACGATTGGTGCAATGCTGGCACTCAAGACCTGTGGCTGTAATACTCCTGCCCTGTCCAAGACCCTCGAATGAGCTCTTCTTATTTTTTAGGACACAGCGAAACCACGAGAAGAATTGTTACAAAGTGTGCTCTTCGCCATAAGCAAGTGTCTCCCTTCAAGTTAGGAGTGGCCCCCAATGAAGACACCCGAGGCCTCACCCAGGTTTGGGCCGGCCTGGGGCTTGGCCAAAGCCAAGGCAGGAAATCGCGATCAGGAGTGACCCGCGTGTCGTCCTGCAGCGCCCCCTGGCGGCCACAAGGCTCTCAGAGGCGGAGAGCTGGGGCGTAGCGAAGCCTCGAGCATTTACCTCCCCGGGGCTCGGAAGTGTTCTGTCCTGGTGCCTCTCTAGCTGCAGCTTGATGGGGCGGAAAAGGGGGGCGTTAGAGCCTGGGATCCCCGGAGTCAAGTCTTGCTCTGCCCCAGCCGCGCTGTGCTGGGGGCGTCACCGAGACCGGCGTGACTCAGCCTTCCCTGCAGAGGGCGCGGGCCCTTCTGGCCGGTAGGACCGCGGGTCTGGTGGCCGCTGGGCCTCGAGGCTGGGCAGTGTCTCAGGAACTGAGCGCGTTTACTGAGAGCGGCCACCGACACGGGCCTCCAGGGTGATGCTTGCTCAGAGAGAAATAAATCCCATGGCTGCAGCTGATCTGGGTAGACTGAGGCACAGAAGGTTCCAGGGAGCCCTCGGAGGACCTGGGTTCTCTCCCCTCTGAGATGAACGACCCAGACGGCGGTCTGTCCTGTGTCAGCAGAGTGCGGCGACGGCAGCGACCCCCATCATGGGCCTCTAGAGTGCCCTATCCCCAGTGCGGTCTGCAAGGACAGCCCAGCCGAGAGCAGCCTGCCACGACTGCTGCTGAGCACAACGGAGGAACTGAATTGAAATTAAATAGAAATTTTAATTACTTTAAATTTAATTTATAAATTAATTGAAATTGAACAGATGGTTCAGTTACTGGAAAAGTTTTTTTTGGAACCGGGGATTGAACTCGTGCTTGCAAGGCAGGTGGAGGAGCCACTGAGCTAAATCCCCCACCCTGAAAAACTTTTTTAGGATCTTGGAACAATGAGGATGTGAATAGTTTTGCAACTGTAGATTTCATGAACTCTAAATATAGATCAAGTATTCCTGATGAAAATTTATTTATTTTTCTGAGACAGGGACTTGCTACGTAGTCCAGACTGGCCTCGAAATCGAAGTGATCCTCCTGCCTCAGCCTCCAGAGAGCTGGGATTACAGGTGTGCACCACCACACCTGGCAAAAATGCAATATCTGAATTGGCCTCTAAGTGTAAAATTCTCACAGGATTCGATGACTTTGCATGCAAAATGGAATGGAAATGTCTCTTTAATAATTTACAGTTGCAATACTATTTTGGACTAAATAAATTAAAGTTAATCTTGACCTGTTTGTTTTTCCTTTTTTTGATTGCAGTTCCTAGAAACTGGAAGTCTAGGGCTGGGTCTCACCTGGCTTTCTCCCAGACCCCACTCTGACCTTCATCGGACCTGGCCCGGGGCCTACTTCGTGGGCCTTGGGAACCACTGAGGCCAGGCGGGCGGACCAGACCAGTGGGCTTCGGCTGAGGGGGGGACCACCTGGGCCTCATGGGGACAAGGGGCTGGCAGTGGTTGTGGTCCCAGCAACGCAACTCTGCGACCTCCTGAACTGCCCAGCAAGAGAAATGGCTCAGGGATCCAAGGCTGAGAACCTGGTTTCCAACCGAGACCCCAGGGACTGCTCGGTCACAAGGACAAGGCCAAGTGCCCCGTTCTTGCAGCCACACAAGTGGACAGTGAGAACTGGCTCCTCCCAAGGCTCTGACTGTCACCTGCACGCCCTAAGTGTCAGGGACCAGAGGACTCCGGAGAGGGACACAGCAGGGTCCCAGCTGTCCCTGCTGCGGGTGCACATTTTCCACCCAAGCCCCAGGTCACGCAGTGGGCCCCCCCCCCCAAGTCCTGCCTCTTCCCAGCCCTGGATCCTGACACAGAAGCAGGGCAGAGGCCTCCGCCCCAGCTGTGTTTGCCCTGCAAACAGAGCAAAGTCCAGCCGTGCTGACCAGGGACTCTGAGGGCTGCTGTCCACCGCCGTGGCTCTTGGCCCCTTTGTGCGTCTATCTGAAGTTTCTGGTTTGGCTCCTCTTGGAGACGACACCGAGGGAAGGGGCAGTGGCCCCAGTGACACAGGTCTCTCTGAGACTCGGGTAAAACCAGGTTAGCTCCTCTAAGCATGGGCAGCTACACAGACAAGCACTAAGTGTACCAAACTGAATCCTGTCTCTACACAAATCTCCATTTGAATATTTACTTCCAACTGGGCATGGTGGTGAACATCTGGGCTCCTAGCACTCCAGGAGGCTGAGGCAGGAAGATGGCAAATTCAAGCCAGCCTGGGCAATTTAGTGACTAAGCAAGACCTTGTCTCAAATTTTTTTTTGTTTTTACCAGGGATCAAATTCATGACCTTATGCTTGCAAGGCAGGCGCGGTGCCACTAAGCTAAATCCCTGGCCCCCTTGTCTCAAATTTTGAAAAATCAAAAAATAGAGCTGGGAATGTAGCTTAATGCAAAAGCCCTGGGCTCAATCTCCAGCACTGAAAAAGAAAAGGCAAAAACCAGTTTACTTCTATTTTCCAATTCCAGCCAGCAGAGTTGTGGAGATTTCATTCAGGCCAAAGGCGATTCCAGAGGCTTTGGCCAGGTGCCCAGATTTCTTGCTCCTTGGTCCCTGAGGAACTTGCTATGAGAATCAAGGGGAAATTTTTTTTTCCCCCAGTACTGAGAACCTAGGGACTTCTCAGTGAGCTGCATCCCAGCCTTCTTTGCTTTGTTTTGAGACAGGGTCTCACTATGTCACTAAATTGCCCAGGCTGGGTTTGAACTTGGACTCCTCCTGCTTCAGCCTCCCAGGCAGCTGGGATTCCAGGCACAGACCACAGTGCCCAGCTATCCATTCTGTTTTTGATAAGACACCAACTGAGGTACTGTTCGGTTTTATTCGATGTAAGGAATTTTCCACTCAAGTTGGAAGCATGTAAACCATTGTCCCATTAGCGATTAGGATCTGAGAGCCCAAATGGGCCTGGCTGCTGGCCCCTCAACACTGGCTCCTGGGGACGACCGACTTAATTAAGGGCCTCTCACCTCCCCAGCGTCCAACTCTTCCTGTCTGCCAGGAAGCAGCACCCAGCTCTTCCTACAGGGGGCGCATGTGGCCTCGCTCAAGGAAGCAGGGACAGTGCCCACCTGGTCTATGAGTCGGGAGGCAGAACCCAATGCCCCACAGACCATTCCTCTTCACCTATTCCTAAGAAATAATGGAAGCAGTGAAGAAAAGACCCTGTAACCTATCACTCAGCCCCAGCCAGCAAACTCAAATGTCTACCAGGACTGGCAGCTGGCAGGAGGGAGGGCTGCGGGGCTGGGGGACACAGAGGGTGGGACAGGGCTCAGGATGGGGATGGGACGTCCCTCCTCCCACCCAGAAAACCAGACTTTTTAGGGTAGTCTCTTGTTTGAAATATTGGCAACAGGTACAAGAGATTTTTACAACTTTTAACCTTGGCCTTAGACAAATTCCTAACTTAAAAGTCTTCTCGGGCTGGGGATTTAGCTCAGTTGTTCCACCACCTGCCTCGAAAGTGCAAGGGCCCAAGTTTGATCCCTGGTAGCAAAAAAAAAAAAACCTTCTCACCCCCACTCAGTAATAAAACTCCAGCCAAATGATTACAGATTACAAAGAAATCAACAGAGAAATAGAAAAAAATCTAGCAGCTGCAACAATACGGAGTCTCCCCATTTAAGAACAAAATCAGTAAACCGATGGGTCAAAATTCTTTTGAGTTCACCCTTTGCATAAAGGAAACCAGCTGGGTCCCATCTGCTGGGACCTGCGTTATTCGGACTGAACCCCAAGGAAGACGTGGTCTTGGTCACCTTCACACTCTCTCTGTGACACCACTGAGGGACAGGGCTAGGCTCCCTGCCTAGAGGAGAAACCAAGGCACAGATCAGGAAGGGTCCTTCCTTAATATTCCACAGCCCCTCAGCCAGAGGTTTCCTGTTCCACCATTTGGCAGAGAAAGCCAGGTGTGGCGGCACGTGCCTGTAATCCTAGCACATGGGAGGCTGAGGCAGGAGGATCTCCATGAGTTCAAGGCCAGCCTGGGCTACATAGCCAAACCCTGACTGAAAAAATATACCATCAGCAGCATCTGAGAGAGGACACAACACTGTGCAGGCGCTCGCTGGGCATGCAGGAATGAATGGATTGGGACCATCAGGAGCCGCCCCTGCAGTTCCAGGACTGGCTTTCTCTAGGGACAGCAGGGAGGAGGAGAGACACAAAGGTGATCACTTCTGTGGGTAAACAATGGCCCTGATGGGCCTGTACCCCATCTGACACTGTCCCCCCCACGTAACTCAGACACAGACAACAGGGTCTGGAAACCTCGAGGCTGTGTTGGCTCCAACCCTGGGCTCAGCCTGATGTGCAGAGCAGGGCCTAGGCTTGGATCCCAGGCCCCCGGCTTTGCTCCTGAGCACTGTGGCTCCCAGCATTTCCAAGTCCCTGGCACACAAAGTGAGTGTCAGCCTGAGAGAGAGAGGGGGAGAGAGAGAGAGAGAGAGAGAGAGAGAGAGAGAGAGAGAGAGAGAGAGAGAGAGGCCCTTTCTTCTCACAGGCATGAGCAGCTAGCTATTTTTGACCTGCCCCGCAACACATGGGCATCTTGGCTGTGGACTGAGCAGCACCCCCACCCCGCCCCCAGGGAACAATGCACTCTTTCTTTTCACTCCTTCTGGGAACCAAAGTCCCAGGAAGCTCCATGCTCTCAGGCCTCTTCCTAGACTGTCACGGGGCGAAGGGATCAGTTCCCTGAGTTTCTCAAAGGTGCCACAGCTGGCACTTTGACCGAACCAAGTCTGTGCTGATGGAGAAAGTGTCCTGTACACTGTGAGGTGCCAGGGTGCCCACAGTCTCACTGATGCCCGCGTGTTTTCAGTGCTGCCAGAGGGGCAGTCTGGCCCCAGGTGGAAAGCACTGGGCTGGTACTGCCCCTTGTGCATGGGGAAACCGAGCCCAAGACCACGTGACACAGCCAAAGTCACCCCAGATCCGATGGCAGGGTCCGCAGCTCTTTCCAGCTGTACTCCCATGCACGTGCCCAGGGTGCACGGCCTAGGATGCCACAGCTCAGCAGCTTAGAGAAACTGGGCCATGGAGAGACCAAATAACTTCACTATCCATGATCACGGGGGAGTGAATACTAAGGGGAGTAGGGCCCACAGACAGGTTTCCTGCTGGTCCCAGGAAGTCCCGCAGCCCCGCTGGCAACTGGGAAGGTGGCAGCCCTGTAGCAGATGGGTCTTCGTAGTCACCACCAGCCAAGGTCTGCATGGAGATGGGGGCTCAGCTCGGTGAGAAGGGCCTGGCCCAGGCTGTGGGGCACAGTGGGGCAGAGCCAGTGACAGCCCCGGGGCCCAGCCTTCATCTCGAGTCTCCAGTGGGCACAGGGGACGGGTGGGCAGCTCCGGCCTGGGCTCGGTCTTCACAGTCTCCGTTGGGAAATATGGTTGTGAGGGCCAGCTCCTCCTCAGAGTCCTGGAGGGTCTCTGGAACACAGGAGGAGAAAGACCCCATCAGAAGGCCAAGCTTGAGAGCTGGGGAGCAAGGACTGAATGGGCAGAAGTGGGCTCCATTGAGTATTGACAAAATACAAATCAAAAACCTTAAAAATGAACATAGCCTTCAACCCAGCAATTCCACTCCTAGGATTTTCTCCTATGGAAATAATTAGGAATATATTTGGTGGAAGTGCTGCAGGCATCTTGCTCCTAGTCTGAGGGTGGAAGCAACACAAAGGACAGCCCTCCACCCCGGGAGCAAGCAAACTCTGGGGTCCTGGAGAGAGGATCCCTGAGCTCTGGGTCAGCAGGCTCTGACCCGACTCTGCCTCCAGACCGTCTTTTTGACACAGTGACGAGTCCCTTACAGCATGTGGAGGTTTGACTCACAGCCTCTCACGCAGCGGAAAGCACCCTAATGGGTCCAAGTCAGCGTCCAGCAAAGGGACTGGGCAAGCAAACATATGACAGCACCCAGCTCTGAGTCCTCAGTATCAAATTCTAAAGAACCCAACAGCACTCCTGTAATCCTATCACTCAGAAGGCTGAGGCAGGAGGATTGCTGCGAGTTCGGGGCCAGCCTGGGCTATATAGTGAGTGCAAGGTCAGCTTGAACTGCATAGCAAGACCCTGACTCAAAAAATGAAAACAAGGGCGGGGGATTTAGCTCAGTGGTTTCGCCACCTGCTGTGCAAGCACAAGGACCCGAGTTCGATCCCCAGTACCCAAAACAAAACAGAACAGGGGCCAGGGATTTGGTTCAGTGGTTTCGCCTCCTGCTGCACAAGCAGAAGGACCCGAGTTCGATCCCCGGTACCAAAAAAAACAAAGCAGAACAAAAACAGCAGAACCAAAAGCAGATTCCCAAATAACATGTATAAATATATGCAGTTGAGGGAGGGAAGAAAACTTCATCTGTATTTCTGGCCACTCCCCATGGCTCCAATCACCACCTAAGCTCCACCTCCTGTCAGATCAGCGGCTGCATTAGACTCCCATAGAAATTTGAACCCTACTGTGAACCACACAGGGACACGAGGGATGCAGGTTGTACCCTCTCTATGAGAATCCAAGCCTGATGAGCTGAGGTGGGGCTGAGGTGGTGATGCTAGTGCCGGGGAGCAGCTGCAGATACAAATTAACATCAGCAAACTGCAGTTACAAATTAACATCTGCACGAGACCAGAATAAATCAGCCACTTGCAGACTCACAGCAAAACCCTATCAATGAGGGGCCGGGGATTTAGCTCAGTGGTTATGCTGCCTGTCTCGAAAGCACAAGGACCTGAGTTCAATCCCTGGTACCAAAAACAAACAAACAAACAAGAAAACCCTATCAGCAAGTTGCAAGGCTGGTGGCAGGCTTTAAGTCAGAATCTGACACTTATTTTAGCCCGTGCGTTCGTGGCCCCTCCATTGTTTATTTATCATTTCCATCTGTGCCTCTCCCAACTGCATACTTGTCTCAGCCACAGTTTGATAAGTTGACAAGCTAAGCTTGGCCATATTAAGCAACGAACAAATGTCACTGGACAACTTCTTTGGAAAGGTGGAAAGACTCAATGATTATACAGCAGAAGACTAAAGGCACAACAAAAAGAAAGATGCATTTGAAAGAAAATACCAAGAGTCCTACTTAAATTATAGGATTGTTGCAACAAGTGATTCACATTTTCCAAGTCTACTTTGTATTAGTGGTGAGTTGTGTAATGATTTCATTATATAATACAATGTAATAATATCAAGTACAGCACATAATAAAGGTAATGCCCCCATCCACGGAAAAACTATCCTCCATGAAACCAGTCCCTGGTGCCAAAAAGGTGGGGGACTCTGCCCTAGAGATCATGTCAAGGCCACAGGAGGATGCTTTTATACTATTTTATATGAGGGACTCGAGCATCTGCGAGTTGTGGTTTCCACAAGGGGCCCTGGACCCACTCTCCACGGAGACTGAGGGATGGAGCCTCTAAGTGCAATCTGCGTTTTAATATGTTCAGTCCTACAGTCCTACATGAGACCTGATACACACTCCAGAGAGGAAAGCTATCTGTGATTTATGTAACATTGTTAATGATTCCTTTGCTTTGCTTTTTCCCATTAGTTTCTAGACACATCCCAAATGATGACCAAGAGGTTGAAGGTGACATTTTTTTGCAACTGAATATTTTAAGGACCTGCCACATGCTGCAGATTATTTAAATATCCTATAGAAGTAAATTTTACTAAAATTTCCATAGCACAGGGAGAGATGTATTCAGACAGACAAACGGAATGGTCTGTCCCCATATATTGATCATAGTTACTGCTGAGTGATAAAATTAAGTGAATGATTTTTAGTATTTGTTTTCCTTTTTTTTTGTTTTTTTGAGACAGGGTCTCATTATGTAGCTCAGACTGGCCTTGAACTCACTATGTAGCCTTGGATGGCCTTGAAAGCACATCAAGCTTCCTGCCTCAGCCTTCCAAGTGCTAGGTATTTTCCTTTTTTGAAAAGAAATTTCTTTTTTACAGGACAGGGTCTAAGTTGGTAAATTGCCAGGGCTAGACTTGAACTTGAGATCCTCTTGTCTTAGCTGAATTTTTTTAAGCTTTCAACTGTGCTAGGCAAAATTCTATGACAGCTCCAACAGTCCCAGCCTTTAGCTACCCGGCCTGGGTAACCCCCTCCCTTGGGTGTGGGTGGGCCACGAGAGACGCTGTTGATGAGGTGCCCCACGACATGGGGATGGCTGGTCGCTCCCGCCGGGACTTGAAGTTATGTGAGCCGTCCCCCTTGCACTGGGGGAGGGGCAGGTGGGAGGAGAACCTGCGAGCTTCTTGGAGCTTAGAATGGAAGTTAGGGACCTAATAAATGTACGTTGTTTTAGATTATTAAATTGTGGGACCTTCTTAGGCAGTAATATAAGGTGAGTACATTGACCAGTGATTATTTTCTCAGTGAGGGACACAATCAAAGTTTATTAATTTGTTTTGTTTTTTGAGACAGGGTCTCACTATGCACTGCAGGCTGGCCTTGAACTCACTATGTAGCCCAGGCTGGCTTCGACTCTCGGTGATTCTCTTGCCTCAGCAGCCTGAGTGCTGAGATCACAGGCGTGTGCCACCTCACTCAGCTCCAAGTTTATTTTCAACAATTGCCTGTAGTCAGTCTTTCCTTCCCCTTTTCCTTCACCTCTCTTTAGCCCTTCATGACTCCACCCCAGAAACCCACTCCTGTAGGGTCCCTCCTCCCTGACCTACACTGGCCCTCTGGTCCAGGCTGCTGCTGTCCCTCCTGAGGCCACTGCAGTCCCCTCCCAGGTAGACTCTGCCTCCCATCTGTCTCCCAGTCTCTGCAGTCCAGCCGCCTCTTTAACACAGCCCACCTTGAGGCCCTGCTCATGTACCCCTCACTGTCTCCCCTCAGTCTGTCGCTGGAGGGCCATCCCTCTTCTGGGCACCACACCTGCTGTCACACCTTCGATCCCATGCTGTTGGTGATCCCAACCTGGCCGTTTCCTCCCATGGGAAGTCCCTACCGCTGGCATGCGTCACTTGCTGCACCCCCTCCACACACCCTTGGGGGGACACATGGTGAGGCCTGTGCCCCACACCTGACTACCCACTACCTGGTCCCCTCTGTCCTTAAGGCCCTGGCCTCACACTCAGCTCTCCAGACCCAGGAGAAGCCAAAGTACTTACTCACCCTGAGGCGAGCCTCGGGGGGAGGAGGAGGTGTCTTGGGAGAAGGCGGAATCTCGCTCCTTCCGGTGGCCCCAGGGACCCCAGGAAAAGCAGGTCAGCAGTCCCAGGAGCCCTGGTCTCTCCCAGGCTCCTTCTGCTAGGAAGAACACAAGCCCAGGAGCAGAGGTCAGACGGCTCCTGCTCACAAGTCTGGAGACTGCTCAGCAAGCCTGGGCCCCCACTCACGCTATCCTCACAGACCCCTGCCATGTGGGGACCACGCTGGGGAAACCACAGCAAAGCAAAACAAAACAGGACATGCAACTCAACACACGACACCAATACTCAAAGGGCAGTCATTGGTCCCTTGGTTTTAGTTCAAACTGTTTCTTGCCAGGCATGGTGGCGCACACCTGTAATCACAGCACTCAGGAGGCTGAGGCAGGAAGATCGCCATGAGTTCGAGGCCAGCCTGGGCTACATAGTGAGTTCAAGGGCAGCCTGAACTGCATAGCAAAACCCTGTTTCAGAAAACCAAACAACAACCCCCCCCAAAAAACTGTTGCTTAACAGGAATACAATACATTGAAACTTTTTAAGAATTGTCTTAAGATTATAGTACCACTTCGGTTACCTGAAGATTACCTGTCATCCCCGACTATTTAGAATAAAATCAAAAGGAAAGGTTTTTTCAAAAAGACCTGGGCTGGAGGTTTAGCTAGGGGAGGTTAGGTAATAGGCAGCAGAAACACAGAAGAATCTTTGTTCATAATCTTCACTCCTGGCTGACGAGCTTTTCATTTGTACCTACTTCTAACAAGACTGGATGCTTAGGTTTTGACCCAAAGGCAGCTGAATTAGGCACCATAAACTGGGTAAAATGCCGCTGCCTCAGGGCAAACAACTTTAAAAAAAAGAACCATCGGGCTGGGATTTAGCTCAGTGGTTTCGCTGCCTGCTGTTCAAGCGCAAGGACCGGAGTTTGATCCCTGGTACCAAAAAAAAAAAAAAAAAAGGAACCATCATCAGGTACTAAGGAAAGAGATCCAAAGACAAAAAGCAAGGGTGGCTGAGGGTTGGGGATGTAGCTCAATGGCACTGTGCCTGCCTTGCAAGCGGAAGGTCCTAAGTTCGATCCCCAGTACCACAAAAACAAAACAAAAATCTGACATTAAGAGTACCCGAGTGGCCTTAGGAGAACCTTAGCAACACGGGTGGGTGGACTGGGCAGGAGGCAACAGTGCTGCCCACTGAAGAAGGTGGAAAGAAAGGAGGGCGGGAGCTACCCTTACACTCAAGACCTCTATGCATTCATGAAAGGGTGCACTTTGTTCAGTGTTTGTTTGTTTGTAGACAGGGTCTCACTATGTAGCTCAGGCTGGCCTCGAACTCAGGGTGATTCTCCTGCCTCAGCCTCCCAAGGGATGGGATTACAGGCGTGGGCCACCACGCCTGGCTGTTCAGTGCATTTTTACAGAAGTAGGGAAGAGTTCAATACAATAAAAAATGACGCTTCTGCAAAACGTTAAACTTTCCAAAAGGTGTTAGTGTTTATTTAAAGAGGTGAGGATTTATTCACTCATTCTGTGAGCCAGGGACGGAGCTGGGAAACGGGAATGGAAGGGTGTTATGCTAATGGGGGCAGTGACAAAATCACGTGCTTAAGAGTTTAAGAGAGCAGGACAGGGCAAAGGGTGCTGGGATTTCACAGGTGGACTTGCAAAGCCAGTGTGGCGGCTTCCAGGAAGGCTTCCCAGGGGGAATCCAGTTCTGACTGAGGAGGAGGGGGAAAAGGCTGTGCAGACCCAGGAGTGTGCAAAAGCTTAGGAAGCCAAGCAAGTTTTGATGGGAACAGGAGCCTAAAGGCAAAGAGGTTAAACAAAAGTCTAAGAGAATTTTCTAGGCACTGTCTCCAGTAGGATGTGCACAGTATGTGTGACTGCCCTTCTGTCCTGCAGGTCAGCAAGGAGCTGGTATCAGTCTCCAGGCTGCAGCTGCTGCACCAGGGACATTCCCATCTGGATGCTGGGGCCGAGTTTCAAATGCAGCCTCAGGGTCCCGACAGAAAAGGGCTGCGCCTGGGGGGAGGACTAGGTTTGTGACACTTGTCACAGGCAGGGGCCAGGCCTCCCTGCCGGAAAGACCTCCCTCTCCTGCTTCCTCCTGTGTCTAGCAGGGCCCAGTGGCCTGGACAGGGGATACCAGGGAGGGGCAGGCGGCTGCTCAGTCTTCCTTATTTACTCTTCAGGAGCAGGAGGGAGGCGGCAGCTGGAAGCTGAGGAACCTGCTAAGGCTCCAGCCCAGCCCCTCTGCAGCTATACTCAACGTGCACCGCGGAGTCTGCCCTTCTGTGGATGACAGACTGCTCCTCTCTGAACATCAGGGCCACCAGGGGGTGCGCTGCACGGACAGGGTGGCCTTGACACCTGGGGAGCGGCAGGGAGACGCCGCAGTGGGTGGCAGCCTGGTGGGAAGCCAGGGACACCATTTCCTTCCCTTCTACCTGTGACCCCAGGGCCTCCACACTGCCTCCCTTCAGCACTCCTGGAGCTCTGACAGATCCCTGAACGCTAGCCCAGCTACACCTACACCTACACCTACACCTACACCTACACACACACACACACACACACACACACACACACACGCTAGCACGCGACCCCAAACCTCTGCATCCCAAGGCCCCGGCCCCTCCAAGCCCCCTGTCCACCCACTACCCTGCCCGCCTCGTGTCCCCTTGGCTCTCCCTGCCCCCGAGAGCCGGGATAGACTCACTCCTCGCCCAAGGCCGCTCCCCTTTGGCTGGGAAGCCTGGTGCTGGGGACTTCCTGGCTCTGGCCTCAGTTTACCTGGCTCCACAACCAGGGAGGCCGGCCTAAAGGGATCCACCGCGGGGGCTTCCGCAGCGCCCACCCAGGCATCCCGCCCTCCAGGGCCCGCGCCGCTCACCTGGTCGCCCGCACCCCGCGGCTTGCAGCGCCCTGCAGGCGGCCGCCTGGACGGCCAGGCAGGAGGCGGGGCGGCCGGGGCAGTAGGCGGCCGCCTGCACCGTGCCTCCCGCGCGGCGGCCGAACACGGCACGCAGCAGAGCCTCCAGCAGCCGCAGCCCGGGCGCCGCCGCGTCCTCAGGCCCCGCCTCGGCCACCAGCACCCCGACCAGCGCCGCGCCGGCCCGCAGCCGCCCGCGCACGTCGCGCAGCAACTCCCGCAGGCAGCGCTGCGGCTCGCGGGCGGCCAGGGACGCGGCGCGGCACAGCACGAAGACCAGCGGCGCGCGGAGGTCGCGTGTGCCCCGCGCCCCGGACCCCGCGGCCTCGGCCGACGCGGCCTCCGGCTTCCCCGCGGTGGACTCGGGCGGGAACAGGGCGCGCGCGAAGTCGCGCAGCAGCGCGCGGCTCTGCTCGCGCTCCCACAGCTCGCCCACCAGCAGCACCTGCCCGCGGCCGCCCGCCGCCTCCACCAGCGCCCGAAAGCGCGGCTCAGCCGGGCCCACGGGCTCCGGCTCCCGCTGCATGCTCGCCGCCCGCCCGCCACCGCCGCCCGCCCCCGCCTGGCGCGCAAGGAAGCGAGAGAAAGGCGTACTTGGCCTCGGCGGCTGCGGCGCCGTCCCCTCCCGGCCCGCGCGGCCGGCTCCTCTCCGGCCCGGCGGCCCCGGCAGCATAATAGACGCGCGAGCGAGCAGGGCTCATGCGCCGCGCGGCGCCTGGCGGGAGTCGTAGTCCGCGCCCGGGCCCGCGCCGGGGACGCCCAGGGGACGCCGAGGCGCGGGGACTACACGTCCCG